GTCCGTTACCGGTAGCCCCCTTTAAAGGAATAATTGGAAGAAGTGTATTTTCGAATGGCGCGGGCGAACGCGATGGATCCACACGCGCACCGAGAAAATTAATATCGTCGGTGAACGTTTTCGACGAGGCGTGCAAGTGACAAGTGCATTCCCGCTTTTGCGGCATTCGACGTTCCAATAGGCGAAACGCGGTTGACACAGCCCGATTATTTTTCCCCGGTTATTACTCAATTTTTCGAGGAGGAAAAGGGTAAACTTCTTCTTAATATTTGAGAAATTAGAAATTATTGAATGTTAAAATGCAAGTATTTGAAATGATCGAGTGTTTATAAAGTTGGTACTTTCGAGTAATTTGTGGAGAGTGGAACATCTTTGGAGATTGGAAGACCAGAAAAGTAATCACGAAAGTTGGCGTACATCTTGATTGGGATTTATTTATTTAATTATAAACGGTGATTTTTAAAATTGATTTTTCAATTAACATTCTATAATTAGTTAACGTATATACTAATGAAATGAGTGTTAAATTCAAAGAATAGTGAAATTGAAAAATGAAAAAATAGTGCATTCATCTTTGCATGTTGCCATATTAATACATTCTACAGCCAATTTAATTATTAGCACGTTTTTTTATAAAAGTTTATGACGCTGTCTGTCATAATTTATCAATTTAAACTTCGTATAACTAGACATATTTATATTACATATTTATGATAATGATAATGAAACTACAAAATAATACAGATCCTCAAAGTCCTTTCTACGTTCCAAGTGAAATTGAATGAATAACTCTGTGCCCTGAACCGAAGCATCCAAAACTTATCAATATTAAATTACCTTCGTAACTTTCGATACAACGGTTTTCTAACGATGAAAAACTTACGAATTTTTTGAATTCCACTCATTAAACACGGGACGAGATAACGAAGAAAAATTAATAACTATTTTGGCACGTGCTCGAGCATTAAATCCTTTGCACCAGAGACTTTGTGTCGCTGATGAGATTCCGCGCGTTCATCTTTATTAATGGACAGATCGGTGATAACGCGCGTTATCATCCACGCCGCGACTATCCGTTACGTGGACGATGCGCTGTCCCGTTCGATGGGACATCGAGATGCAGATTGGTTTATTGATTGACAGATTCGATCTTTGGCCCGCGAGTGATTTAAAGTCACTTAGATGGATTTGATTTATGTGTATATATAGCTAGCTCGTAAGTTGTTATTTGCATTGCACAAAGGGAGGCACAGAGGAGATGTTTGCATGCGTGTTTAATTTGGGGGAACGAAACCAGTGATTCCACAAGTTTTCCAGTTTTCTAGCTTTTCCTTAGGGTTTATGATTATACTGTCAGTTACTGTTGAGAAGTAAGAAGAAACTTTAAGTCTTCCAAGTCTTAATTAGAATGCCGAGTTTATTACGAGGAACGGTAGCGCCACAAATCTCGGCCGCATACTTTTCACCTTTTCTTTATGATTGATGGATGCGAGACGGATAATCAAATAATACTTGTAATTTTAAGTTTTGAAATTAATTTTTTTTTTTAAATCCTTTATAATATACTTTAATTTCGTTAAAAAATTTTATCCTTAATTAAGGAAGTTAAGAACGATAATTTATTGATATTTTAATGAAGAATAAAATCTGAAGGTGTATAAATTCCAATTCCACATTATAAGTCTCAACTTGCTAAAATATTTCTCATACATCATTTAAAAGTAAAATTGTGATTACTTCATAATGGCAATTAGGCGCCATCTAAGTTTTAACTGGCAAACATTCTAGAATTAATTAATTAGCGAAGGAAATTAAAACTTTGTTGCCATAAAAAAAGCATACCATAAATCACAACTGGATTTTTATACAAAAATTTTGTATAAAAATGGAGTTTGAACAGAGATCTGCTTCATTTCCATCGCAAATCTAATATTTGCACTCCAATCATTCAAAATTTTAATTAATATACTATATTATCAATTAATCGCTACTAAAATAAAATTCCACTACTATTATCGTCAATATTACTATCGCTACAAATGTCACCCGATTAAATCAAAAATATAAATCATAGACGGGCGAAACACAAAATAAGATTTCAAAGTGAAATCTAAAATGGAAAAGAATACTCTTTCTAGAGATTGTACTAGCGGTATACCGTTTTCCTGTATCGCAATACACGCGAGCACTAAAGATACGGTTTAATGCTATTACTTTGGTGTATATACTGCCACACCGATGGACCGGATTTCAAACAAGCTTATCAAATCAATGGATACGACGGCAGATTAACGTAGACTGGCTCAATCAAAAGCGCTTATCGATATCCTGTGGTAGTGTAATAGGATTACAATGCTACATTGACATGGAAGCATTCTTCCTTTACCGACCTCCATGATACTGAAACACGTATGCAGTGTTATTTCTCGAATCAGTGGCTCTTGTCGCGTCGGGACAATAGACTTCTGGGTAATGGATTCGGCAATTCGCACTCTGGAAATCGAAATCTTTCCTTCGTTTATTTGCCGCCACTTGTTATTGCGTTACTCGCTAAATCACGATTTTCTTCCACGAAATTCTTTTATATTTTTCTATATCGCACAGGATGGGAGTTTCGATTTGAATCGTGCGTTACATGGGAATATTTTGAAAGCTGTCGATGATTTTGCAATATGCTTCCATTTAAAATTGGATAAACTGTGTAAAACTTTTTTTTCTGAAATATCTTTTAATCCAAGTGAAGTATTTTTATTTCATAAAATTTTTTGGACGTGTATATATATATATTTTTTTTCTATGAATTTGAAACATTCTTCTTCTTGTTCCGTTTAATTTAGTTTTATTATAATAGGAATCAGAATCAATATTCAATCAAATGCGTTACTAGTTGCAATCGAACAAGTAGGTTACGATTCTAGTACTTCACTAAAGAATTTTATTTTATTCATCAACCGAGAACGACGAGCATCGGAGAATTCAATTGCATTTCGTTACACGGGCAAATATTTGTCATGGAATCAAGTCTTTCCGCGAATGAAGATTTCTTCCTTAAGATAAATTTTATTTCAATTTTATTTAATTTTTCCTTTCATTCAACATTGAATGAATTTGATTGTTAACTAAAAATGTTTTGAAATAAGCAAATACAGAAGAATCTAATTTCTTTTTATTAATATATTTGCAGTGCAAAAACGAAAAATAAAATAACGAAGTAAAATAAGATAACGGAACAATTCTCTATAAATAAAACCTTGCACAAAGAGAGTCTTTTCTCTAATACCATACTGTCTCGTCTGTTTAAGTACCCAAATACGACTGTCATAACAATTCACTCTTCCCCCCCCTCTCACAAGTTAGAAATACGTCAAACGCAGAAGTTCGCAATTGCTCAAGTAGAAAGCTGTAAATTCTATCTGTGAAGGTATCAAACAATGAACTGTGGGTCCAAGTATGAAGCTCAAGCTAAGGTTAAAGCCATAGATGAACCATCGTTGAACTAATGGCGCATTCGGCTAACATTGATCAAGTAACAATGTATCGTACATAATGCTGAATTTATGTGGAACAAATAGGGACACGTCAGTCCATAGATCTGCGTTTGGGATATGGATCTGCGAGAGGTACGAGGTTACTTTTCATCTCTGTGTTCCACACACACTTCGGACCAATACGGCCGAATTCTCGATTTGAACTCGTGATCATTTAATGTCCTTTTTGATAAATGTAACTTGGATGTATATCAATTAAGAATTGAAGATTGATTTATGATAATACCGAGGAATTTCGAGAAATCTAATATTTTATGAAAATATCGAGAATTTGAATCATTAAACGTTCGAAGCTAAATTTGATTAAAGTTACTTTTCATTTCGATAGCCGAAAAAATAGTTTCTTATTAAATAATATTTTTAAAAAATGGAAATGTTAAGAAATTAAAGTAAAAATTTTGCAGAAAGATTTAAAAAATTTATTTTTACTTATAATCTGTTTGTTTAATTAATCGTATAATATAACGTGGAAAGAAGAAAATTATTACACCTATAAACTTTTAAGAGCAAAAAAATGAGGACAATAAAATACACTTATAAGAACAATGGTTCTAGTTAAATTTGAAATAAATGAATTAATAAATATCCGGAATTAATCGATAGAAATGAACAAGAACACTTTGAATCTCGTGTATCGATGAAGGCAAAAAAATATTGAATCTCAGATGGAATATTCATTTATCCTATTCAAAGGATGTAATCTCACTGTCATTTATTCCAGTTTTTATCAAACTTTTTTGATGAAAAGAAATTAAATATTGGAGAAGCTTATAAAAACTATTACAAATAGATATTTATTGGCGGAATAGATGAGCAATTTTTTGAAAAATGATTGACGAAATTGTATATACCTATACTACAAAAAAATTAATTTTTATTTTCTTTTTATATATCGCAAATATGTCATCATATATTCATATAGATATGAATATAAATATTCTTATATCTCTTAGATTGTAAGTTAAATTATGATAATTCTATCTAATATTTTCACCATTACATTTAATAATCTATTTCCGAAATATTTAATAAAACTTCAACGAATAACGCAACATTTCACGTCTTTTATACGAATCACGAACCTTGCATTCACGCTAAACATTTAACTTTATTTATCGATCTATATCCAATCTGTTTCCAAAATTTCATAAAATTTCGATAAACAACTGATCAACATTTACCTATACGCAAACTGAAGCGCGAAAGCAAATTATAATTCGCGATTCGATAAAAGCACACGTTCTTAATCACCGCGTCGAAGTACAAATCGTTTCCCAATCGCGAAACAAGATCTCCCGATTCGATTCCAACCGAATTTCGAACCGAGGCGATATTTCTCCCCGGGAGTTGCGGTCATTTGATCGGTTGCGCGGCCGTGGTCACATCGTAAATTCCGAATCGCGGCCAAGAACGTGCTTTTAACACGTCAAATCTCTATTTTTTTTTTTTCAGAGATCGATAGATCGCCAACGATGCGTAGGCCAAGCACCAGACGAGACTCGAAGAAGAGTTGGAAGTTGGATCACAATCACGAGAGGAACACGACCGGCATGAAAGACGAGCCGATGACGAAAATGATCGAGAACGACGACGAACAGATCGATTTCCAATCCGCGACCGCCTCGTCCCCGTTCCACTGCCATCTGCTGACCAATCTTGGAATCATGGCCATCACCGCCATATTGGCCGGTGGTATGTCAACGTAGACCCTTCTGTGATCTCAGTTTTACGTATGAAACTGATCAATTCGCGTCCGGATGAGTTTTCAGGGTCGCTAGTCGCGAGAATACTGGTAATTATTGCCGGATTGCGACTCTAATGTTAATGGAGGACCAGTCGGTTCGATGTTTCTCTTTACGTTCTTGTTCGCGAGAACATTCCATGGATTTGGAAAGAAAGGTGCCGAGAGATTGAAAGAAAAAAAAGTGTCTTCTGAGAGCAAGATCGCCTAGAACGAAGCTTGAGAGAATGCGCGTTCCTCTTATACGAAAGATTCCATTCGTTCTTTAACCCTTTAGCGCGAGTATATGGCTCGAGAAGAATGTTGCATATTTATGGAAAGTATGATAGATAAAAGACGCTAGTGTTTTATAAGATCCTTTTTTGTTAGATATTTACGTGTTAATATATATTTTTTTGAATATTAGTCTAATATTAATCATTGAATTTTATTCTATTGTAATTTAAAATTTAGAAAATTATCTTAAATTATTTTCGTTATTAGTAGATCAAAATTTTTTTTTGTTATAAATGATATAATTTCAAAGTGAAGACATTTGATTTTTTTTAAACAAGTTCTTTAACTAATTTTAATTTTTTTGTATGTAACACAATGATTTTCCTGTCTATCAATTAATAGATATCAAGATTTCGATTCATGGAGTTTGAAAACAAGCTTTTTTGTATTTATTAATTTCTAATTAAATTTAGCAATTTTGTGAAAATATTAAAATAATAATGGGGATATTCTTACGAATTTCTTATTTGAATTTAAACTTGGAAAAAATCTAATAAAAATTTAAAAGTTAGTTTAATTTAATAAAAAGTTAGTTGGTATATTTTATATCTTTCTTTTTTTATTTAAATTTCTAAAAATATTCTATTAGCTGCAAATTTGAAAATTTTGCAATTTGTAATACTCGTAATACTTTATTATTTTAAATTTAATACGCGTCTGATCCCGTATCTATACTCTAATAATATTTTACAATATATACATCGGAGCTAAAGGGTTGAGAATAGTATTACCGGTAGCTTTTGAACTGACAATGCATTTATTTAGAATAACAGAACTTGCTATGTTTCTTCTTCCATGTAATTAAATTATATTTTATAAATAATTCTTTAAATAATAATCATTTTCTTCACATTAAATCCAGTGTATCGAGAAAACGGTATCAAGAATTAACGATAGAGATATATAAACGAAGTATATTTATATTTGACATAATTCATATAACAAGTCAAAGGAAAGACCTAATTTAATTTAAATTTAATTTTCTCTACCTCGAAAGTTTTGCGAGAAATATTGTAAACGATTCCTTGATTTACGTTATTTGTTAATTTGTAAATTCTAGATCGTTCGTAAGGCCTATTATGATATCGAACGAATATATTTTTTTACATTTCTTTATAATTTTTAATAACGCTTAACGATAATGTGTGATAAAAAATCTGAAGAGCTTTCACGGATGATGTCTTCGATTTAATTTATTCGCTATTGAATTTTATGCGATTAATTTGTAAATTTTTTCGTAACATCATTCGTATAATTATTTATCATGTGATATTTATAAATTTAGAGAAAAATTTATATTTTGTAATTTATATTTTCTAATTCGCCTGATTTATAATTTTAATATTGTTTATTAATTATTGTTTAATATTGTTATTGCGATATTTATCAATTCTAAGTATTCGTTTTTAATTCGTATTTTCCTAAGTAAAAAAAATCTCGACAAGAGTTTTTATTTTTATGTACGTGTGTTACGCTTGTACCTAATCTACATGTAAGTACATATCATTTTCTTCGTGTAGCGACATGCTTTACGACAATAATTGTTTCGATTATTCAATTACGAACAGAACCTATGATTTATAACACGCAACAATGTTCGTAACATTGATTCCGTTATATATTTATACGGGAATAAAAAGCTTGAAATTACTTCACTTTTTTCAGAGAATGAATCGAAAATCACAAATCGATTCTTTTTTATTGTACAAAGCTTGTAAATTCTATCGTTTACTTTTCTGTTTTATTATTATCGTAATATTAGGAACTCAAAACGAGTATAGATTTTTTTTTATCTCATTTCAAAGAATTACAAAAAAAATTGATTCTCACGTGACACGTTCAATCAATGAAACATTCAATCGTATTAAATCACGTATTGTAATATAAAAAGTGATTCTGAAGTAGATAGCTTATTTTACTCTATTTATATTAAAAAGATAATCTTATCCTATCAATTTAAAACAATTAATAATAATTGAATGACAATAATTTTCACGCGTTATAAATATATCTTTGAGTTATTATTAATATTTGAAATGATGTTTAATTTTAATTATATAAAATATTATAAAAATTAAATATATATTTAAAAAAAGAAACTTTTATTTATAGTAATAATTATTTTAAATTATTATTTATTTATGAAATTAAATTATCAATTTAAATTATTAATGATATCACAAGTATTTATATAATAAATATTGTAGTAATTCTTTATTGTATCCTTTTTTAAATTTTAAAAGTTAATTTAATTGTTAAAAAAAAAAGATGCAATAGAAATAAATATAAAAAAAGGGCAGCATATAAAGATGAAAGCATCACGTCGCGACGCAAAAAATTCATTACTTCAGATATCAGAGTTTCTATGCGTGCATACGCAATAAGTTTGTCCACTGCAAAGATAATCAACTACCACAATTCAAAAGTTTAACTATCTACTTCAAAAACACTTCATCCTTTATCATCGTTATTTACATTTCTGTAATGAGTACAAGTGGAAACAATGAGAGAGAAACTGTGACTTCACTTCCTTCCAACGGTTTCATCGTTTTATAAATGCGTTTGCAAGTTCTGTATCCAATAGTTAACAATAATGAATAACCAAAGTAACACCGATACGATTAATAAGGATGACGATCTGGGTAATATTTTAACGTACCCTAACCAATAAAATCAACCACACGAAAGTCAAATTGATCATCTCTCGTTAATATAAATATCGTTTCATTTTTAAAAAATTACTATTATTAGTCATATAATATAGAATAGTGCATATGAAATGTCATTTTCTGAAATAAATTTGTTTTTAATTAATATTATATATTTAATCGAAATAGTTCTTTTATTTGATCTAAAATTTAACAAATCTTTAAATGTTAAATTTATCTAGATTGCTTTATTTAATAATCTAGATAAATTTTGAAAGAAATTATTCAACGAAATTATTCTTAATTTGTTTGCTTTGCGTGTAATAAATAAAATATTTTTTCTTTCTCAAAATATTTTATAATAATTTAACATAGTTTATGATAATTGACAAACAAAATGTGTAACTACCATTATAATTTATAATGAAATTCGTTTTCATAATTGATGACAATGATAAAAAGACAATATTCAACTGCCATGATCGAAATTTATATATAATGACTTCTCTAATTCCAATAAAAAATAAAAATTTAGAATTGCAAGTTAGTTAAATTGAAAGATTCAGAAGTCAATCAGAAACATTTAAATTATTCAAATTACTATAAACTTTTAATAATGATAAATCAATTGGATCGCTAAACTACCAAAATAGTCACTTAATTTTTCAATTAAGAGTTTACTAAAGTAATTACTTAATAGATTTGTCAATTGAAAGTTTAAACGACAAGGGAATTCTTGCACTACGTGAATCACTTTCAGAGAATACAATTTACACCGATAATATATCTTTTTAAATCTTTATACATATAAATCTCAACCCGATTATTAAAGTTTACGTTTTACATTTAATAATTAAATCACATGTTAATTAAGCGAAAAATTAGGAAATATTTATAAATTTTAAAATATTCAAAGATCGCAATAATAATTTAAAAGATTTAATAATTAAGAAACGACATTTCACATGCGCTTAATTTAATAAAATTTCGAAATTTATGAACAAGAAAATGATCAGTGTGACTTAATGGTGACTTAAATAGAATCATACATTCCTTCCACTCTCTTCGAGTCGACGTACGAGAGATCGCTAGTGATCAGACAAGTAGAGCGAACCGAGCCTATAATCCGCCTTTACACATATTCTTAACGTTGACATTGCTTGTTGAACACGAGTTTGGCGATCATGTTTCAGCCTTAATCAAGGAGATAAAGAGGAAAAGAAGAACAAAGAAGAAACGAAGCTGTGTGCATTATCGTTCATATAGCCCAGCTTGGCAACGATTCTCGTTGCGTGTAACATAATGGAACGTTGTAATGCCTAAACGTGATCTGTAAAGCGTTACAGATCGTTGCTTTCGACGCATAGGATTATACGTGGTATTGTAAAATAATAGCGTGTGTATGATAACGTGTAGAATAAGCCTCAGGGACATGTAAATACGTTAAGCTGTAAGATGATGTGTTAGTTTTTGCATTTGTGACCACACTGCCACTTCTACCCTCCCTCATCCCGTGTAAATAAAATGTACTCTATCGTGTACTTGGGCAATAAATGTTAGACAATCGTACAATCTATGTATTTCAATTATTTACGTTTTTTTCTTCTTTCGGTTTTTCGAATATTTTGAGAATAACAAAATTTTGTAAAAAAATTTGTTTGTAAACGATTGGATTAATAAATATATTATTTAGAAACAAAAATAATAAATTTCATTTCTTGAAAAAATTCCGAATTTTAATATCAAAATGATTGGTATTTGATTGTTTACTAATCAAAGGAACTAAATGATTAAATTTGATTAGTTGATTAAGAGTTGATTAATTTGGTTTCTGTATGGTGAGATATTTATGAATTATTTGACGTAGAAATTTATAATTATGAAAGAAGAGTATTTAAATTTAGTATTTAGCATAAGAAATTATAGATATGAATGAAAATATTGAAATGGCTGCATCAAAAGTATGTATCGTGTGAATGAAAAATATATAGTGATTTAAGATTTGGAATATCTTCGAAGAATACCATGAGAAAAGATAAGGAAAAAAAGAAAGAAAAAAAATCTGTATATATGAGATGAATATTATATGAAGAGAAGAATTTGAGAAGAATACTATATATGAAAAAATCAATGAATAATAAAAAGGATCTTTAAGAGAAATTAAAATTTAAGAAAAAAGATATTTTAATTAAAATCTAAAATAATTTATAATCTACCTACCTAAAAAAATAAATAATTAATACCTATAAAAATTAAATAATTTTTTTCCATTTTAATAATTCCTAGCTATCGAAAATTTAACTTATTCGAAGCATAGAATTTAAGATAAATTTTAATGCAATTTCATACCCTTAATAAATTACTATACTTTTCTAAATATAAAAATATCTTTCACGTAATTTATCTTAACTCAAATAAACTCAATTAAACTCAAATAAATTCTGTTAAAATTAGATTTTAACGGAAAAGAAAATTATTAAAGGCGAAATTTTATTT